CCCAAAACCCCAAAACCCCAAAACCCCGCTATGGTACAAAGCATTAAATAAGTGATTTTAGAATTATTCAATTGAAATTTCGCTAAATATAATTTAGTAAACTTAGAATTAAATAAACAATAACATGATTGATAACAGATTTACCTTGATAAAGAAAATTGGGAGCGGTGGTTAAGGCTAGGTTTTCAAAGCTTTTGATGATTTAAAAAAATAAAAATGCGCAATTAAAATTGTATTTATATATACCACTTAACTTGTCATAGGTTGGTAACAAAGATGAATTTATGAATGAGAGAGCATTATATCGAAGGCTTGCTGAAAGTAATTAATAGAAATTCAGTTGGTATATAAAGTCAGGACAAGTTGATAAAACTAAGTTCTACATAGCTATGAAACTAATGGGCTCTTCTCTAAAATAAATTCTCAGATCCACTCAAGTCTATCTTAATATTCAGCAAATAGCTTTAATTGGAATTTAACTAGTAAGATTATGAATTTATTAATTTATTAGATAGAGCAACTAAGTTTGATTCACCAGATTGGTTATGTTCACTGGGATATCAAGCCTGAGAATATTCTATTTTAAAATAAGTATTCAGTGATTAAAGAGGATACTAAATTCTAAAAGATTCAACTGATTGATTTTGGAGTATCTAGACCGTTTATCAACTCTCTGGGAAATCATTACTAGAATATAAAGCAAGAATAATTCGCAGGAAATCTATACTTTAGCAGTCATTTTCAAATGCTAGGAAATGGTACGTTAAATAATTTTATTAATAAATCATAAACATTAGGCCCTTCAAGGAGAGATGATATTATTTCAATTATTTATTTTCTCTTGTATCTCAAGCAAGGTTATTTACCATGGATTTGTTCAATTACTTAGCCTGTTACTTCAGAGAAGTATAATAACATTGTTAATTTAAAGAAAAATTACTACAATATTTTAGAGAACTAATTTGAATCAAATTGTAAGTCATGTTTATTCAATAATATTGTAGGCATACTCAAGAAATTATTAAGCTATAGTTATCAACTCGAATTTTAGGATGAGCCAGACTACGCTTATTTGCAATGTATGCTAAAAAAAATCATTGAAGAGAATAATCTAGATCAAAAGAAAACTATCACATCAACGAAGCTATCATTACAATTGCACCCTTCTCAAATAGGAAATCCCAAAAATAGTAATATTTAATTTTAGATGCATTCTTTATTTAGATATATTATTCAATTCAGAAAATCTAAATATTAGCAAGCAGGAGTAACTTATTCCAGTAATGTCTAATCTGCACAAGAATTTATTGAATATTCAAGAAAATCAAGATAATAATTGCATTCTTAAATCGAATGATTGTTCCTTCTTTGAAAATCTAAGCAAGAAGAGTTGCGGTGATCTATTTAAGGTATCCTAATCATCTATAGATAAAAATTCTAATTCTAATAAAACTTAAAAATGAGAAAAAAATAATAACAAAAAAAACAAAGCAAATAAAAAAGTGTGTCCTAATAAATCAAGCGGACAGAGAAAAATAAGAGATTTCCCCAATTATCAGCTTGGTTAACAAGATATTCAAGAAGAAATAGTTTAGTGCATAGATAATGATCCGATTTCAATAATACTTATAGACCGATAACAACAGTATTTTGTTGAGAATGATTCAGACAGTGATCTTGATATTTCTGAAGAGAAAAAGTATAATAATAACTCAGAAATACCAGAAAACTCCGTTTACTAGGCAGTATTCAATGCAAACTATATTAAAGCTGTTGATTAGTAGAATGATGTATGAAACTGAAACAATAAGTTATATGATACACTATTGAGAGCGTTGACTAAATATGAAAGTAAGCTATGAGAATGATTTCTATTGTTGCTTATAGCAAGTAAAATTAATACTCTATTAACTTCTATAATTGATTGATTTGTAAATTATAATTTATCATTTTCGAATTTTTAGAATTGAGGGGTTTTGGGGTTTTGGGGTTTTGGGGTTTTGGGG